TCTTTAGGGTTTTGTTTGTTTAGTGTCAGTTAAAATTGTGTTTGAATCTCTGAGTCAAATGAGTAAGTCTTTTGTGACATCAGTAAAAGGCTGCATTTAGTTTCTTTTTGAGGCCATCAATTGCCCAAATTTATGCCTCTCTCTGATAATTTTATTTCTATATTTCTAACTGTCTAGTTCAAAACCTTTTAAAAGTAGTCTTAAAACCTCATCAAGGTGAACCAGCAAGGGACCTCAGAAGCTCCCAAGACCAGCACTCATTTTCCACATGATGAAACTGAAGCCCAGGAGGGACTTGGCTAAGGTTCACACAAGTAATAAATGTCACATTGTTATGGGTAGCAGATTCCCCATTAGGAAAAACTGAATTATCATAAACTATTTTACCAGAGACTTGAAAGTTAAAATCTATTAATTTTGACTCAGCTAAGTGATTCAGTGGATAGTGTGCTGGACTCGGAGTCAGGTAGACCTGAATTCAAATTCAGTCTTAGACACTTGCTAGCTCTGTGACCCTAAACAAGTTATTTACCCTCTCTGTGCCTCAGTTTTCCCATCTGTTACCTCCCATGGCTGCTGTGAGGTTAAGATGAAATAACCTATGTAAAGTGCTAGGCAATCCTTAAAGCATTATATAAATTCTAGCTATTAGGATTGGTTATTTTTCAGTGAAATGTATTATTTGTCCAATGTTATCTATTCATGGTGATCAAGAATTGATGTATGTGTATGTGTGTGTGTGTATGTGTGTGTGCACGTATGTTTGGGCACTGTATATGTATATAGCCCTATAAACATCTGTGTGTGTATAAACATCTATAACACACACACACACACATATAGATATATACCCTTTATTGTCTATATCTTTTAAAATAATCATGTTCTCCAAGTTTTGAAAGTAGTTGAGAGCACAAAATTCCATATGGACCACTTGTGAGTGGATAAAAAGCTTTATATTTCTTTTTAAAATAAACGTTTCATTTGGCGGTAATTATCCTGTTGGTTCACCCTATTTCACATCAACAAACAAGAAAGCATTGTGCATACAATCTTAAACTTTTAAGACTCAGTCTTAGAATCTGACCTCAAATCCTGACTCTGCTGCTCAACACTTACATCCTCATCTGGGAAATAAGAGAGTTGAACCTTTTGACTTCTAAAGTCCTTTTAACACTAGATCTAGGATTCTACTCTGTTTCTTCCTCTATAAAAGGACTTCACAAAGCCATTTGTGACAATGTACCCAGGAAGCTGATAAATGTTTGAATATTTTTTTCTCTCTCATACATAATTTGCATATGAAATTTGAAAGCAAATTTGTTATGGTTTAGAGTAACCATATTTCACTGTATGTTCCTATTTCAAGGACTGTGACAATTTGTGTAATGACCTTTAGAGATAAAAATGTAAACATGCCCCATATATATCAGGATTACTGGCCTCATTTATGAGAAAGTAATTCTGTTTGCTTTTACCGATTAGCTAGAGGGCAGCTAAGTGGTGTAGTGGATAGAATGCTGGGCCTGGAGTTAGGAAGACTCATCTTCCTGAGTTCAAATCTGGCCTCAGACCCTTACTAGCTGTGTGACCCTGTCACCTAAGCATGTCACTTAACCCTGTTTACCTCAGTTTCTATAAAATGTTAAATGAGCTAGAGAAGGAGGTGACAAACCACTCCAGTATCTTTGCCAAGAAAACCTCACATGGGGTCAGGAAGAGTCACATGTGACTGAAAAACAACAACTACTTATCTGTTGTTTCCATCCTATTTATAAACTAAGGTGTCAAAATGTAAAAGTTAGACTCAGATATTGCATGGAAACTTTAGAGCCACAATTAGAGGGGGGATCAAATATACTCTGTTCCTCGTGGTGTTTCTTTCCCTCTTTAAATCTAAAAAAAAGTATAGTGTGAAAATCAAATGGAATCTCTCTCTCTCTCTCTCTCTCTCTCTCTCCTCTCTCTGTCTCTGTCTGTGTCTCTCCTCTCTCTGTCTCTCTCTGTCTCCCCCCCTCTCTTTTTCTCTCTCCCTTACCAGTTTTATGTTTCCATTACAAAAGCATCTCCTATACAAAAAGAGCCCTCTGGAGTTCTTCTCAGAGGAAGCTCCGCTAATGCATTTGGGAGCTGCAGGAGCCTTTTACTTGGCTCAGAAGCATCTCAAACTCAGCTAGATTACATAAAGGGAACATAATGCACATGACAGGTAACCTGGAGTCCATCATCATCAATGAGCTATCCATCTTCACTGTTGTCAGGTGTTGCTCTAGCCAAATTATTCATGGATGGGGATGGATTGTTGAAACAGTGGAAACTACCAGCTGGGTGACCCTGGGCAAGTCACTTAACCTCTTGTAGCGTCAGTTTCCTCCTTTGTGAAATGAAGGAGTTGGACTCTGTGGTTTTGAAGATCCCTCCCAGCCCTAACTCTACAATTACTTCTAATGAGTGGATGTCAGGAAGTAGAACAAGGGTTAGCATCCAGGCTAGGAAAGAACAGGTAACATTTCTAAATTAAGGTAATTATTGAGGCTCATTCTGTGTGAAAAGCCAAATATTGTGCCTTCATCTAAGCTATTAGTAGCTGAGTAACTAGCCTTTCATTCACTCAGCACATTTGTATAGCAACATCTATAGTCAAGATTAACAAATTCTTCTTCAAAGGAGACATATAAACAGAGTTATACCTCATGGACAAAGGCAGCTAGGTAGCTCAACGGGTAGAGTGCTCAGTCTGGAGTCAGGAAGACCTGAGTTCAGATTTGGCCTCAGTCACTTACGAGCTGTGTGACCCTGGACAAGTCACGTAACCTCTGTTTGCCTTAATCCACTGGAAAAGAAAATGACAAACCACTCTAGTATCTTTGCCAAGAAAACCCTCTGAACGGTATGGTCCACGGGGTCCTCATGAAGATTCAGACACAACTGAACAACTTGATGCATCTGCTATTTTATTTTTCACTGTTCAGTCACCAAGTGGTGAAGTCTTAGTATGTACTGAACCCTAATATGCTGGATTTGAGTCCTTTCTCCACTTCCTCCTGTCCTCCCCTCCGCCCCATTTTACTTTCCTGTTTTTAAAAAAAAGCAGCAATCTCATAGAAATGATATTTTTCTTTGTTGATTCCAAAAACTGAAGAAGAATTTTGGGCATTGTGTCCTCAGTACCTATATCATAGATACTTTTAATATTTTCAAGGAAAAGCATTCTATTTAGCACTTCCATTTTAGGAGGGGCAGGAGAGGCTAGTATAATATCTAGGTTTTGGTTTTGGTTTTGTTTTCTTTACAATTTAGGTAAATGGTTGATGATGTAACAACTAGCAAGCTAAATCATTAGCTACTTTCTTTTAGCCATCTCCTTCTGAGGTTACATATGCATGTGTACCCTTTGTACCAATGGAAGAAGGAAAAAGGAATATGGAAGATTGTTGCACGGGTAAACACACTGTGACTACACCCTTTCTTAGGTAGGAAATACAGGAGGGCTTCTAGCCATCTCTCACTAGCAGGTTCACTTTTGAGCCAGTCAGACAGGAAGATAGGAATGGAGTCATAATAAGGGGTTAAATAAGCTTACTTTATTCTAGTCTAGTCTTCTCAAAGGGAGTTTTCTGATAATGGCAGCACCAACTCCTACAGCATTCCCTAACAACCCTTCTTGCATTTGCTGGCATGAAGGGGGGGCAATAACCTCTCTGTCTCAAGGGGGTCAATTGAGACAGGCACAATTTGTGTACTCCCCTAAACCCCCTCAAGCCTCAGTGGGGGCTAGTTGAGGCAAACACACAGATTCCCCTTCCCAAGTCTTGATGGAGGCCAGTCAAGGCATGCACAGCATTCCAGCTTATTCATTCACCCCTAAGGGGATCCCCAGTCACTGACCAGTGCCCCACTTGCTATATGGGGCAACACACAAAGAAGGCATATTGCCAGCAATAGCCTCACAATTTTATATTACTTCATCCCTATATCTACTGCAACTGAGCAGGAGAAACTGTTTTCAACCATGATCGTGAGATTGTTTTGTTTATGGATCCTGGGAAAGAAGACTTTAAGAAAGAAAAACCAAAATCCACTTTACACACACTGAAATTCATCTTCCTTACAAAGATTATGCCACAAATGTCACCATCAGTAGGGCCCTACCTGCCGTGGCCATCTTCCTTATGTTTCTGACATACAGTAGTGATTTGCTAGATAAGGAAATGCCTCTCCAAGAAAGGTATACACTTTGATGCTGCCATGAGATCTTATAAAGGAAGGAATTTGTTTTTGCATATTATAAATCTGAGTTCTAAAGTGAAAATTCACCATGTCGCTACCAAGGAGGGTTGTGGGTGATTTGCTTGACAGTAACTCAAAGCTGTATACAACTTTAGATTTCAGTGATGCTCTTATCTTTAATGTAGGGACCCCAAACAGCTCAACACTTAGCAAACAAAAAGGGAAATACAAGTTTGAACTCATCTGTCTCTTCACCTTAAAATGCACAATGAAAAATCACCTCTTGAAATTAAAACATTTTGTAATGTTGATATTGGTCTGCTATCAGTAACATGGTTTCTTTCTCTACTTTGACTGAGAACAATCTTCCTGGTCAGTAAGCTGAGCTCTGAGGTATAAAGCCTCAAGTTGCAGTTAGCTTCTAGCCATTTTTAGTTCAACTTATAAAAGATGCAAAATAAATCAAAATGGAATGATATTGTAGCATGTTCATCTGTATGGTCTGTAGACATGCTATTCTTCTAACCGGAACAGGCCGATTCTCTTCCTTACTATAGTTCGAGCTTATTTCTGTCATTAGGTTGTTGCATGTGTACATACGTTGTGGGAGGGAGGTTATTAGGCAAAGTGATATTTATTACTTTACAACAGACTGTGTGTAAACATACTATTTAGGTTACTCAATTTGGAATTTTGAACTGGTTTGCAGGTCTCTTAAATTTGTGTGTTTCTTGTGTTTTTTTTTGTTGTTGTTTTTATTTTTTTCAAAGAGATTTCCCAAAGTTGCAGATGGCTGGCTCACCTCCAAATAACTCTTCAAGGTACAATATGCTGGTGATATCTCCCGCTACTGAGCTGCTGGGGAGCATGGAATTGACTTACTGGGGAGGGCTGTATCAGTTAAGTGACCTTTTTTAGTACATTGCATGGGTTTGCAAAGCTTCCATTTTTTTTTCTACCCTAAAGGGTATTAAAAATGTTATGTTAATTAAAAAAGTTACATTGTAAACCCACACAATATAATAAACCATTAACCTACTACATTCTTTCTCACATTTCAGCCCTATAGCTTGGTTAGGTGTCATAGTACCTAATTGAACTTAAAAAATTATTAATCATGTATAAAGCAATTTCCATAGCCTGAATTCTTTCTGCCATTTTTATTATTTATTTTGGATAACAACTTTAGGTAGGTTAGTATGACAGTTTTTGGAGGTGCTTGACAGTAATTTGTGTCTGTACTTTAAAGAAATTGATATTCAGAGAAGTCAGGTCAATTTCTCAAGATAAATCAGAGCAAATCAATAACCTGTAGTCAGTGATATGTTTAGCTGTTCTTGAACTAATGGGGAGATCATATTCATTGGTCACCTCAGTCTACAGACAGCCTGTATAGTCTTAGCCAAGATGTAAAGTACTAACAATGCTCTGAGGGGATCTAATCTACAACAAAACCCACACTTAAAATACCTTCATATGACCTTTCCGTTGACAACCTGTCAGCCTGTAAGCATTTATTGAATATATATCTATATATCATGCTGAATGCCATGTTAACCACTGTGGTGGGAGATGGTACCCCCTCACCACCCCCCAAAGAGGGTTGTGTCTGCTATCAAAGAACTGTGTATTGTAATTAAATTTAATTTGACACACATCGATTAAGTGCTTATTATGTGCAAGGTGAGAGGCAGAGTGGCCAAGAGGGATGGTCTTGGAGTAAGGGAGACCTGAGTCCTTCCTTTGACACTTATTAACTGAGTGGCCATGAGTAAATCACATAACCTCTAGTTAGAGACAAGTTGTTGATGGGCCTTGGTGAAGAGAATTCCTAACAAAATGTTCAAGGTCAGTGATGTCATACAGAAACAACAACAACAACATGAAAAGCATCCCCTCACCACAAAAGGGCTTGTATTTTACTGAGGGATACAGAATGCAGACGAAGAAGTAAATGTAA